CTTAGATGCGTATTTGCTTTTTTAAATACAATTCTTGGCATATGAATGACCATGTAGGTTTCTAGATTACAAGAGCAATTGCAAGCAGAAAGAGATCTTAGGGCTGCTTTGGAAGTTGGCCTAAGCATGTCTTCTGGACAATTTAATAGTTCGCGTGGCATGGATTCAAAGGTTTTTCTGCATGTTATATTGTTATCCCATTTACTTTTTCGTTAACGTCCACTAGTCATATACATTCTCATGAGGCATGATTGTGCTGATGTGAAGACAAGGGCTGAGCTTGAGGAGATTGCTCTTGCTGAAGCAGATGTGGCTCGGTTGAAGCAGAAAGTTGCTGAACTCCACCACCAGTTGAATCAGCAACGGCAGCATAACTATGGTTCTCTATCTGATGCATGTGACCGATATCAGCACGTTCAGAATCATAGTCCTCAACTGTGAGTGCCTGGTATTATTGTTACCATTTTGGTTCTTTAGATTAAGGCCCGGGAGGTTATAGACCATGGTTAAATAATTCCAGGCTAGTTTGTGGCATCTTGCAGTTATTGGGAGTACCTTATTTTCTAATTTTTTCTTGATTGAAAATTCTTGATGGCAAAAGTTCATTTTAGGAATCGTAGAACTGGCAATAAAGTTTTGATCATCTCAAAATCTTATCCTCTGATTGGTTCTGTACTAGCACAATTACTTTATTTTTTCTCTGTATTTTAGAGAAGCTTTACAGCTGTAATATAAGAAAATAGTTAAACCGTTGGATTTGTTATTCATTGTTTAAGAACAAGTGTCTATTGGCAACTCAAGGTATGAGTAAGATAAGCCATTGTCTTGCAATCCATTTTCGTAGGGATCTCTACTTTTATCTTCAATCAGGATGTGTAAGTCTTTTGAGTTCAACTTAAGAATATCAAAGGCCAATCTGAACTTTCTGTCCAATTTTAAATTATTTTGAGCAGTTCATAAGTGTCAAATCAAATATATTGGTGTTCTAAGCTATCCTTATATTTATGGTCACTTCCAGGGGGTTAAATGCGCTACAATCTTGCACAAGATTGCGAATGGGTCTCTGTTTCATGGGTCATAAAGATCGTGGAGTTTACTGGATTTTTAAGTTTTAAAGTTATTTCTAGACGATTGCATTCCTCTTCATTTCTTTTTTCAGTCAACTTTGCAGCTGTTACTTGGTTCACCTGCAGATAAATCTTAGGATATATTTTCTTTTTCTTTGAAACATTTCATTATACATAGCCTCCCCCCTTCCCCTCCCATTTGCTGAAAAAATGGACTGGCAGCCTATCCCGGTACAGTTCAGGCCTATTCACATGATTAAATCTGGTTATTGGAGGGTGAGGTAGAGAAAATGATTAGGCTTGTTATCCTCTCACACTTGGAATTATTTCACCTCTCATAATAATTAATATTATGCCGATCATTGTACTTTGTACTGATATATTTAGGTTATTTCATAGAATGTTATAGCATTTGAATTTCAATCCACCTTAGTAGTGTCTGGTTGGGCACGTTACTTTCATATGGCATCGAATGTTTTTATAAATTGGTGTTGAATATGTAAAGATGTCACTAAATTGTTTTTACTCCTGGAAAGTTCTACTTTTTTCCTCATTATTTTTAATTTCTGCAGGAGATTTCTTCAGCAAGATTTTGATTCAACCCTTGCTTTTGTTAATCATGAAAGGAAACAAAGGAGCGAGGTATCTTTTTGTTATCTTACTTCCATGTCCATTTCATTAATAGTTAAATAAACACCTTTTCTCTATGATTGGCCAGTGAATATCGTCATCTATGTTTTCCATTATGATTAGTTGTTATCTGTTGTGAAGTTCTTATATTGTTTCTTATGCAATGCGCTCAGACCCAGAGTTCATCTTCCTTTTCCTTTATATTTATCATCAAGGAACCTAGATGTATAACTAATTGTTCAACAATTTAGGACCGTCAACTAGCTCTGGGACAGCATTATCTATTTCATGTCTATGTGGCCTTAAAAGTCTAAATATTTTTTTAATTACTCCTTTTCCGACATACAGACCAGTGTAGAGCATTTATGTAGCTTCCTGGTCTTTTGTAATTCTAAATCTCTCAATAGAAAGTGCATGTTTCTTTAAAAAGGAAAAAAAATCTTCAACAAATTAGCTTACATGCATTGGGTAGCTGCCTAGCCAATCATGTTTCTGGTTCTCTAGTTCTAATTCATTATTTATAACCATGGATGTTAAGGACAAAATTCGGAATGAGGTACTTAATATAGATAGCCACTATAGCTTGAATCCATGACCTCATCGACATTTGAATCTACACTTTTCTCTTTTGATCGTTGGACTAGCTAATGTTGGTTGGTTGTCTTGCTTTATCACTAAGCAGATACTTAATAGTCAAGTTATTATCCCCATATTTCTGATTTCCCCCTGGAGTAGGATGCTCTAATTCATCTGCTATTTAACAATTCATTCCCCTATTATTTGACCTTACTTGTCTCATAAATTAGAACTGAATAATGTATCTATTTTGGGTACAGGAGGGTTTGATGGGAGGTGACTGGCGAAATATCAAAGGACAAGTGTTAGGATCTGCAAATAGCAGCAAGCAGACGCCACGGAAGCTATTTATGGATTCATTAAGCCCGAGCGACTCCAAAAGTACCGAGGTTTCGACTAGCATGTCCATGGATGACCTTGCGGTTGATTCTGGTTCTTTGCCTTCTACTTCAAAAGCAGGAGAGGTGATTACATCCATTCTCTTTTCCCCGCTCCAAGAATAAGTCTATTGCTTAAATCTAAGCGTCTAAGGTCTAGATTCTAGAATACCTTTTTTCATGTTGAAATTAAAATTATGGTTCCAGGTTTTGGATTACACGAGACACACGGCAGTGCCTTCCTCGACATTGGTAGAGTTAACAACACGACTCGATTTCTTCAAGGAGAGACGTTCTCAGTTGATGGAGCAGCTCCATAATCTTGATTTAAATTATGGTGCATCATCCTCACAAGACTTTATCTATAAACAACCGCCGTCTCCGCCATGGAAATAACAACCCGAGCAGGCAAGTCTACATCCATAATTAGTTCCAATCATCTATTTGTTGTATATCCTCTTCCTACACCTATAATGTTAGCCAGTTCATTGTGTGCCTTTCTAATATTTAAGTTTGGTCTTTCATGGGGATGTCATCTTCAATTTCCTTTCTTCTTTTTCCCTCTCCATTGAGGGACTTTGGTGGGTTTTGTATCTTCTAGTTCACTTATTTTGCTTTGCTCTCGTATTTTTATCGAGGATTAGACTAAGCGAAAGTCGCTCGTGTTGTAACAATATTAGTTTGCTGAGGCCTTGTCATTGAACATATATATGATATATATTTAGTTTCAGAGATTGGAAATTTTATCCCAAATTCTTGTTTCATTTCCATAGCTAGTTGCTTGATGCTTGTTCAACTCTTACTGATGAGACTGTTCCAATTATTCGTCCTGAAAGAAGCTTTAAGATATGGCTTCCAGTTTACCTTTGTTTAAGCGTTAAATTTTCATTATTTACTTATTCGATGAACGTCATCAAGTCTCTGACCAGAGCGTAAAGCACATGTGAGAAATATTAAAAGGTGGCACCAATTCGGCATATACCGAATTGGACGCCCAGTCATTAGACTGGTTTAAATTAAATTTGTTGGGACGCGCCCTCATGACTCAACCAATTTTCCCCACTACACGGTTACCTAAATCTCAAAGGGGAAAAACTGTTCATTTGAATTTTGAATCTCCTCAACGTTTACCTGTGTGTCTCCATTTATTAGCACTGTCATAATCTTTGGAGTGCTAATTCTTTTTTTGATGGACTTATCTTTAAGTGTTCTCGAAGATTTATTGTGATTATCGAAACTTTTCGGTAAGAACAACCTTTATGTATGACTTGAAATGTCTACGGAGCTAACTTCATCCATACAGAAGTCAACATTCTTCTTTGATTTACTTTTTTATTTTTTATTTTTAGTATTACAATTCAAACATAGTTGGGACTCAACTATGCGTTTTTTGTGAGGTTCTCGATTTCCATCGGTCGAGCTATGTTTTGGTCAGAATCAGTTCTCCATTTTAAATTTAGGACCAAGTTATTAGATTTCCATTGCTATTTTCATGTCTACATAATTGAAATTTACATATTAACAAAATTTTAGAAAATATAGACAAAATATCATTAACATACGCATAATACTAATAACATGAGGCTAAAAGTTATTTTAAAATGGTAAAAATACTTATTTGTTAATTAAAATAATCTTTATGAATTTTGATTTTATAATTTTTCCATAATTATCCATCCAATGAAGTCCATATTTTCATGAAATTGAAACATTGACATTTGTACTTATGCTATCTTTTTATTTCCGGAAAATACTTAAGTCTATCTTGTGCTGATTGTCATTAAATATTGGATATGACAATCTTTGGATAACTAAGAGAGAGAAATGCAAATGTAAAAATAGATAATTTTGTTTAAAAAAATGAGGTGTGATTTTTTTGTCTTAATCATTGTCGGTGTAATAGAGGATAATTTTTTTTAATTTAGTATGGACAGGGTTATAAATGTCACTCGATATGTCGAGGGCCTCGACATCGACACGTAGGGAGAAAATCGTTTTTCTCTCCTTGTAGTCTACGTGTGGAGGAAATGTCAACCTTCTTCCTTTTTTTCATACTTATAATCTAGAAATTGTTTTTTTTTTTCTTAATAATCTGAAAAGATACACCCATTGACGTATATTTTGGATATTTAGGTTAAATAATTTGAAAAGATATATCGACCACCGATCAAAAAATATAGAATTAGTTTGTTTGGGTGAGATAATCTAGTTTTTTTTTTCTTCTAAATAATTTGAAACCCACTTTTTTTTTATAACCAAAGTTTGTTTCCATGATTATGTTGACTTTTACCTTTATTTTTCATTTTATTTTTCTTGTTACTTGGTTTTTCTACTACTTTTGTTTATTACTTTTGTTTATTCATTTTTTTATTGAATGCAAAAATATAATATATATATATATATATATATTATACAAAATACTATGAATGAGCAAACCTCCTAAGAAAATAATTGAACCAGACCAATCAAATCTTATCTAAGTGGTTTGACCATTTAAAATTGGGATGTTCTTCCTAAAATTATATATGTTTATTTGAATTAAAGGAAAATATCATTGGTATCAATTAAGTTATATCAACATTTGTATATAATAAATTTTATTTTTCAAATTTTCTACCATTATTTCATCTTTTATGTCTATTAATATTTCACTTCAATTATGTAACTAAAGACTATGTTAGATTAGAAATTATCAATAAAACATAAATCAAAGCAACAATAACTTTAATTTACTAATTCAAATAATTTTTATGTATGTATACATGATTTTGTTTTTACGTTTTCATCTTAACGACATTTTCATAAATATATTATTTATATATTTAGATATGATGGTCAAAATTGATTAATTATGGGCTAATTAAGCTAGTCTTATTTACTAATTTAAAAATCTTGCATCAATATCTATAATTTCCATAATTTTTTCTGAAATATCGTTGGACCTCACATGTCCATAAAATCATGACCTCCACATTTACATCGAAATTTTGAACCGAGGAGGATTCAGTATTACAATAATATCTTACTTATCCCTTTTCTTTTTTATAAAAAATGAGTAGACTTTCTTTAATCCAACACAAGAGAAAGTCTCAAAAATCCTCTGCATGTTGGACATTTCACATGATGGTAGGTAAGATAAAGATTTACCTACCAGTCATTAAGATGCTTGAGATTAAGATGCTTGAGATTAAGATGACTGAGATTAAGATATCTGAGGAACTGTGTTTGGTTGTATATATGTCTGGGATTAAGATGTCGGAAAATGAATTATATATATGTTTATTTTGTGTGATTACTCTATAAATATGAATTTTATGTCATTGTAAACCTTGATTAATAACAAATCAAATTTAAATAAAAAAAACAAATAATATAAATTAAATTATTTTATATTAGCATACTAAATTTTAAATTAACAATTTAACTATACTGACAATTTAGCACAATAATCAATTGAATAATTAATATTAGATGTTATGTAACTAAAATTCAATATATACATATTTAGCAAAATGATATTTTTGTATAAAGCATTAAAATAAATCAAAATTAACTCCCAATAATTAATTTACATTAATTAATTTATTTTTGTTAAATAAAAATAATAATTATTTTAAGCAATTATGTTTTAATTTAATTTTGATTCTTTAATAAATATATTATAAATAATATATCTAAACTAATGTTGTTGATTTTATTTAGCGATCAATCTTAATAATTATCATTTTATGTGTTTAACAAGATTAATCATTTTCATCTTATTAATTGCATCAATTCATTACATTTTTATAAAAAAAAATGAAGTATGCACTTTAATAAATTAATTTATTATAATAGAATAATTAATTTAGTACATTATTGGTAAAATTTTAATGTTGTTTTATTAATTATAAGTTTAATTTAAATAGTTTAACTAGTTTTAAGTAATAAATTTTCATAAAACAAAGTAAATAATTACAATAAAAAATATTTAAAATAAGAGAGAGAGTCTGGCACAAAACCATGAATGTGAGGAAAGAAGGCCTTGTCTATGGGAATAAGGGATGCATGAGAATAGCTTATTCCTAGGAAAAGATTTGAAATCTGTGTAACAAACAAGGACTTTACTTGCCCGTGCCCATTCCCACCCAGAAAACCCCCCTCATTGGTGATTAAAAAATTTAAGGGGCCGTTTGTTTTGTGGTAATGTAAGATACCCGGGTATCTGGAGATGTTTGAGTATCTAAGGATGCTCATCTGGAAGGCATCCGAGTCGATTGGATGACCTTTTGAAACATGGGTTTCCATGATTCTCATGTCAAGCGTATCCAATAGACATTTTTACCATTTGTTATTTTTTCATATATTTTCTTTTATCAAAGTTCTTTGGTTTTATTTGTAATTTTATAATTTAAATAAATTAATATACTCATTAACTAATAAGCAATTGAGTATATTCATGTATTATATGTACATATAAAATAAATTTTTTAACGATCAGCTTACCTTTGATATTTTTCTTCTTAAAAGAATATAATTTGATAATATAATAAATGAATTTTACCTCATATAACATTAACTATATAATTGTATTTTTAAAAAATAATAAAGTTGAAAATGAAATTTATATTCAATAATAATTATTTAAAAAAAAGTCTTACATTAATATGAATACTACCTAATAACATAAAAAATTAATACATATACGCAATTAATATAAAAAACCTAAAATATTAAATTAATTTTAGGAAAATTATTATATAAATGCAAGTTATATTAGATTAATGTATAAATTATATGAATATCAGGCGTTTTTGGAATATTATATAAATTTATAACATTCACATGAATAAATCCTACCAAACAAACGTGGTTATCCAGATATTCCCAGACATTCTTATATATTTTCCTACGAAACAAACAAGACCATTTGAAGATGCCGACATCTAAAATTCTGAACATCTGAAATTACAGGCATCTAACGACCCGTAAATAAACATTTGATCCCAAAAAAAAAAGGAAAAAATCTAAATAGACATGCTCTTCACAAGCCCAAAAATTTAGCTCGTGAAGAATCAAATTTACAAATAAATTAAGTTATATATAAATAAATTTAAAGTGTATACCCTCGTGTCTTCTCATAAATTTCCTAGTTTTCAATAATTTGAATTTTCAATCTTTGGAATCTATGAAAAAATAAAATCCCTTTTCTTGACTCCCTGAATTAGCAAAAATTACATAAGCAATTAGATCGATAAAAGAGGAAAAACATGTGTGTGTACAAAAAAAAATGAAGACTTTTTATTTTATGGGTTGTAAATATGATTAATTATATATAAAGCAAACTTTAACTCCTAAAAACACCTACATCAAATAAAGGATTTCTAAGTTTGTGAAATAAAGTTAATTACAAATAGTGTATGATGCTTATTAAAAGTAAAACACATAAATATATCTGAAAAGTTTCTAAAACTTTAATCTAACCATTTATAACATATTGATTTATATAGAAATCAAATATGAAAATTTGATAACCAAGAGCTTGAAGCCTTTTTTTTTAATCCTAAAGTAGCATAAAAAAATCCCCAAAATCCGACGATAAGGAGTCTTATCTGATATAGAACTAGAACAAGGACGTAAGGAGTTATTTTAATTCATTTTGATATTTGTATTTTTAAAACATCCATTTTGATCCATATCATTTTAGTTTTTATATTTTTAAAGGTTTGTTTTGGTTGTTCACTTTAAAAATGGATCATTTTGGTCCATTAATTTGCATTGCTATCTCATTTTTTCCTATTAAAATTTTAACTTTTCAATTCACTCGCTAAATTTATTGAAATGTAGCCATCAATTTGTATTATAGGGTTTCCATTGTGTATACATTTTTGAACTAAAATGAAACACTTTTTAAAAATAACAGAGACCAAAAGAGACGTTTTGAATGGATAAAAGATTAAAATCAATGAAATTCAAAATTGTATTTAAACCTTGGGGATATGATTTTTTAAAAAGAGAGATTTACGACATCCGAGAAAATTCAAAATTGGAAGAATTTATATTTGTGAATAAAATAGTTTACAATAAATTAATTTTTGAAATAAACCGAGAGGAAAAGAATATTGAAAAATCTGAACAAACTAATAAAAGTCAAAAGCTTCGCCCACTAAGTATTTAAAAAGGAAAAGAAACCATGGGCTCAGGTGGCCAAATTTGAATTTATTTTGTTTCTTCTTTCTAAGGTTCATTTCTAAAATTATCCATAATAAATTAAGAATAATAATAATAATGAATATTTATGACTTAAATTTAATATATTTTTTAAAAATTATCTAAAAGAAATTTCTTAAAACGATTAATGTTTTTCTTAAAATAATATACTTTACTAAAATACACCACTTAAAAAAAAGAAGAAGATAAATTTTATTAGTGCAATAATTATAAGAGAATTAAGTTCCAAGGCAATTTATTCAAAAGCATTTTTTTTTTAGAATATTTATTCAAAAGCATTTAACTTCATCATTTCAAAATTGAAGTCTTTTGATTGAGTTAAAACCTAATTATAAATTAACTTCTGAAAACTATTTTCTCATGCTTTTTAATTAACAAAATGTCGTGGATTTTTTTTTTGTTTTTTATATTTCATTTATTTCCTTATTCCGATTAATTTAAAAACATGAAATTACACTTAGAAGCATAAGAAATGTTCATACATAAATAAGTTTAATAAAACATTAAAAAAACCAAAAAAAAAAACATCATATTATTTGCATTTTGTGAAAAATATTTTTAAAACATCTATTTTAGTCCTTATATTTTCTTAAAAATAACCTCTTGGCCTTTCCATTTTTATTTTTCTCATTTTTGAACCATATTTTTAGCATGATAGTCCACTCACAAAAATTCTTGAAACATGGCATAAATTTGTATTAAAAGTTTTCATTGCCTATAAATTTTATTTATTTATCTATTTTTTGTAAATAGAGAAAAAATTGGTCACTTTTAAAAAAAATAGAAGACTAAAATATACAAAATTGAAAGTAGAAAAATCAAATTGAATATTTTAAAAGCAGAGTCTAAAATAATATCTAAACCTAAGAAAATTATTCACATAGTTTAAAACAAAAAGAAATATATATTTTTTACTCCTACCTTAGATATCTTAAAAAAAAAGAAAAAAAGAAAAAAAAGAGAAAAATTCCAACCTTAGCGCGTGCACATCACGTGCAGAAGAGAAATGTTGGTTGAAAACGGCGTCGTTGCGGCCACGTAGGCTTTGGTTGAAGGAAGAAAATAGGCAAAGAAAGAAAACGACGGAAACACATTGAAAAAGAAAGAAAACACACAGAAAAGAAAAGAGGAATTCCAAAATCCCCAAATCGAAACCAGAACCAAAAACCAAACCCCAATCTCATCCTCTTCAACCCAACCCTTTTCCGTTCCTTCTCCAACCCTAATTCCATCTTCTTCTTCTTCTTCTTCCTCTTCTCCCAATTCCCTTTCACCGTGGATCCGATCGCGCTCCTCAGGTATTCTTCCAATTCCTCGCAATGGTGATTTTGTTTCCTTTTTCTCGATTTCGGGGTTTTTTTTTTTTCTGTCCTGTTTGTGATTTTTGGAGCTCGTTAATTCTCGTCGCTGAATTGTTAGATCTGGGTTTGTTTTCCCATTTGTTTCTCTACTGTATTTGTTTTGTTTGACCGTTTTTTTGATTTTCTTTTCCGTGGGTTTTTTTCGGGGGTGGCCACCGGCGGATATTTTCTGGGTTTTTTGTTTTCTTTGCGACTCTTGGAATTGGAATCCGAATGAAGTCAAGCTGGAATTTTGAGGTCAACTCGGCGGGATTCTACGTATCGTATCTTGATTTTTGATGGGGAGAGTAATATCGTTGGAGAGCCCCAGTTGGGTTTCTTGCGTATTTATTTATTTATTTTTGTAGATAACTACCGGTGGGTAAAAGTCTTCTTGTTTCCGGGGAATAGGAATTGGATAGTTAGGTCTGTCAGGGTTTATAACAATTGTATCTGGCATTGGTAGGGATGGGTTTTGAATATCAATTTCGATTCAACTGTCTGTTTTGTGAATTTTCTTGGATTGCTCAAAACATTTATATTTTGTTGAAGGCACGGCTTTCTTACCTTTACCTCACTTTGGAAGCAAGCCCTTTGGGTTTCCTTTTTCAGTGTATTAATGTAAACTCCATGTAAAGGTGTAATTCATTATTTAATTCTGAAAAGGTGTGGAAGAAAGATTTGTATGATCATGTTTAATAGATGAACGCTTGTGCTTGCTGCTTTTCTTCGGTTTGTGATCTGAAAGATAGGAATTTAACAGGTTGATAATTTTAAGATTTTTAGTAAGTTAGTAATAATGGACGAATCTTCCAGTATGATAATTACTTCATGTTAATGTTTGTGTTCTTCTTTGAGGAACAATTTGATGGATTTTAGAAAATTATATAGGAGTTGTAGGTTCATGTTGAGATGCCATCTTAATCTTTCGGTTAATTGAGTTGATAAGGTTACGTGGTTTGTGGGTTTTTCCTCATCATGGAACTTTAATCTTTGAGGCTGAAGGGTAGAGAACTTATTATCTTCCCCATAGTGGAACATATATGATACATCTGAGTTAGAGATTGTATTTTGATCATTGGGTAATTCCAACAGTGTTACTAAATATGATTGGAGGTGATGAGAATTCTAATCAAAGTATTTACAACTATATTAAATGCTAGCTATGTATCTCCACATTATTATTAGTACAGACACTATTAACTTTGCCAGTCGTCTGTTTTATTCTATCTGTCATGCAATTGTATTTAAGATATCTCTTAACAAGTTTTGACTTCATCTTGTTGTGATTTGTGTTTTGGATATTTCAGTTTTTTTACTTGGTCCTTTAGTCATTCATTGTTGGGGAGTTGTCTATGAAAAGGGTGTACTTTTAATTATTTGTGAAAGGCAGTGATAGCTTATGTTGGATATAACATTAGTTTGAAGTCTATATATTGTTTGCTTTTTAGTTTGGCTCCTTTTGGGTTTGTGCTGTTTTTTGTATGCCCTTTTATTCCTTCATTTTTTCACAATGAAAGCATGGTTTCTCATAAAAAAGTTCATATTGTGATTACCTTGACTAATTTTTGTTTGACTTATCTACCGTGCTTAGTAACCCTTTTGTGGATGCCTGGGCCTTTCCTTCACTATTTTATTTTCTACGTATTTCTGCTATTTAATATGCTTTGATGGTTTATGAATTTCATGCAGATATATGCGGTATGAATAATCTGAACACAATGGATGGAAGATAAACATAGAGATGGCTAAAATGTCTTCTTCCGCTTCTTCATCATGGGAGCGTGCGCAACGCCTTTATGAAAAGGTAGTTTTTTCTTTTTGTTCTTTCTCAGAACCATTTTTTGCTTTTAGTCTGTAACTTTGTAATCAGAAAACATTGCTCATGATTAAACCCGATTAGAGGTAAACGTAACTTTTTGTATGCTATGGGTAGCGATTAGAGTGAGATGAGTTTTTGCATGTAAGAGAACTTGGATATGCTATGGGTCTCTAGTAGAATATGTGATGCATGTGTTTTTAACTTATGTCAATCATTTTTATGTCTATCTCTTCTACAGAATATTGAGTTGGAGAATCGGCGAAGAAGATCAGCTCAGGCTCGAATTCCTTCAGATCCCAATGCATGGCAACAAATGCGTGAAAATTATGAAGCAATAATCCTTGAGGACTATGCTTTTTCTGAACAGCACAATACTGAATATGCTCTGTGGCAATTGCATTACAAGAGAATTGAGGAGCTGAGAGCACATTTCAGCGCTGCTTTAGCTTCTGCTGGCTCTAACAGTTCTAATAGTTCTAACAACTCTAACAATTCTCCGGGAGTGCCTACAAGGCCTGATCGAGTTTCAAAAATAAGACTGCAGTTCAAAACATTTCTTTCAGAAGCCACTGGATTTTACCATGATTTAATATTGAAAATCAGAGCAAAATATGGCCTTCCTTTGGGTTTTTTCTCGGAGGATGCGGACAACTGTATTGCTACAGATAAAGATGGAAAGAAGTCTGCTGACATGAAGAAAGGGCTCATATCTTGTCATCGGTGTTTGATATACTTGGGTGATCTTGCACGTTACAAAGGATTATATGGGGAAGGCGACTCAAAAAATCGGGAGTACAATGCAGCTTCAGGTTACTACCTTCAAGCAGCATCACTTTGGCCATCGAGTGGCAATCCTCATCATCAGGTCCTTACTGAATTTCTTGAATATCAATCCTTTATTTTGATTCCTTTATTACTTTTTTTATTTGCCTTCGATTTATATGCTTCTCAACCTCATCTTTCTGAGCTCTTCACTTATGTTCAAGTGTTCCCATCTTTCAGCTTGCTATATTAGCTTCATACTCAGGAGATGAGTTGGTAGCTGTTTATCGATATTTCCGGAGTCTGGCTGTTGATGCTCCATTTTCTACTGCCAGAGATAATTTGATTGTTGCATTTGAGAAGGTATTTGCCATTAGTATGCCATCTACTGCAGTCTTTCTTATGTATTTTCTTTGTTTGTCTCTCTACTGCTTATAACTTGTGGATTTAATTTTCAAAATGCTACAAGATGTTGTGCTACTATTTAAATTTCAAGGTTGCTGTTCTACAAGACTTACTAATTTGTTTCAGTTATGTATTTTGTTTAATTCCATAAAGATTCTTTTTGATTCTGAAACTTTATCCACTTTAAATCTTGGCCATGGTTCCAAGTTTTAGCATTCACCTAGCAAATTAATAACTATCAATATAATATATTAACTTCAATGAAGTCCTAAGGTGCTCTTTCATTTCAAATCTTGATTGGATTTTAATGGATTAGAAACTTCATTGGAGCAATCAATTATCTGTATTTTAACTATTTACATTATTTGGATGCCGACGACCTTAGCTGTTTGTCAGCCTAGTTTTCTTATTGCTGGTTCTATAGTTGGACATTTAATTCAATATTGGCAACCTCTTGAATGATCTTACTGTGAATCTTTTTGCACTCAGGAGATTTTAAATAACTTATCAGGTGGGATGGGAAAATAATGTAATAACTACCAGTCCATACCTTGCATTCATAATGATATGCAGTCATAATCATGATATTACCATTGTCAATATTTATTTATGGAGTGGGATATTTGTTCTCTAACCAGAAAAAAGGCTGGTTATATGGGATTCCTGTCGACCGTATGTAGTAAATAAAGTTTAAATGGTGAAGCAATGAAATTGAGTCGAAACGCCTTGCTGATAATATGTGATCTGATGCAACAGAGGTCTTCCATGATGTGGAGAATCTTCTTCTTTTTCCCTTTATTTTTTCCATTCTTGATTATACATATATATATATACATATATAATGCCCTCCTTTGGAGAATCTTCTTTTTCCCTCTATCTATTAGCATGGTGATGCCATTCTATGTATCCTATTTTTTGCAGAACCGTCAGAGCTACGCTCAATTGTCTGGGACTGCTAAAAATTCTGTGGTGAAGGAATCACCTGTTCGGTTTAGTGGAAAAGGACGGAAGGGAGAAGTAAAGCTTGCAACTAAAGATTCTAGTACTGAACCCCCAAAGGAGAGCGCGTTATCTCCTCATGAGACATTTAGATCCTTTTGCATCAGATTTGTTCGGCTAAATGGAATTCTTTTCACTCGCACGAGGTAATTACTTGGACAATATACATGTTTTCCTTTTCATTTTTTTTTTTAATAATTGGGTTGGGAAATGTATATCACTTAATCTGATTCTTTTTCTCCTTCAGCCTAGAGACGTTTGCTGAAGTCCTCTCATTGGTCAATAGTAGTCTCTGCGAACTTTTGTCTTCTGGACCTGAAGAGGAACTGAGTTTTGGAACGGATGCTGCTGAGAACAGTCTCATCATAGTTAGAATTGTTGCAATTCTTATATTCACAGTTCACAATGTGAATAAAGAGACTGAAGGTCAGACATACTCAGAAATTGTACAGCGGGCTGTTTTGCTCCAGAATGCACATATTGCAGTGTTTGAGTTGATGGGTTCTATTTTGGATAGATGTTCCCAGTTGGTTGATCCTTTGTCAAGTCTTTTTCTGCCTGGCCTTCTAGTTCTTGTTGAATGGTTGGCTTGTTGCCCAGAAATTGCAGCAAGCAGTGAAGTGGATGAAAAGCAGGCAACTGCTAGATCAAAGTTTTGGAACCTTTGCATCTCATTCTTCAATAAACTGTTGTCAAGTGGTTCTGTGTCTTTAGAAGATGACGAGGATGAAACTTGCTTTTTTAATCTCAGCAAGTATGAAGAGGGTGAAACTGAAAATCGGCTTGCATTATGGGAGGATCTTGAATTGAGGGGATTCTTGCCGCTTATTCCTGCACAAACTATATTGGATTTTTCAAGGAAACATTCCGGAAGTGATGGCAATAAAGAGAAGGTTGCTCGTGCTAAAAGGATTCTGTCTGCGGGGAAGGCTTTAGCAAATGTAGTCAAGATTGATCAAGAACCAATATACTACAATTCGAAGGTGAAAAAGTTTTGTACTGGTATTGAACCTGAAGTGCAAAATGATTTTGTCATCCCATCATCTTCTAGCATCATGCCCAGTACAGGCAACGTGATGCAAGAAACTCAAGTAGAGAAAGCAAACAATTTTGCAGTTGGGAAGTCAAGTTCACAGCTAGTTTTGGAAGGGGAAGAGGAGGATGAAGTAATTGTCTTCAAGCCACTAGTTTCTGAGAAGCGAATTGATGTGACTGATACACTGCGGTCAGGTTATGAAGGTTTGCAACCGGGAAGAAATGCTTCTGGAGGTGATCTGAGATCTTATCATGGCATGCCGTCCACCTCTCCTGATGATGTTCACCAGCCAAATAATTTTGAGTCAAGTTCTCAAGTACCTGTAACTGCTTGTAATATTAACACACTCCATTGGCAAACAGTTCAGATGAATGCTTCTAGATGGCCAGTCGAACAGGATGCTTCTCTTGCTAACTGCTTGCAAAGTTTGAGGTTATTGGAGAACGGGCATGGGAAGAATTCCGATCTTCAGAATGATATAAGCATGTTTAATCCGGCAGCTCACTCAATGCCTATCAAACAAGCTGTTAGCATAAATAATGATGCATTTTACAGTGACAAGAAACCCCTAGGAGCTCTTGTACAGTCTAGGAATGATGCTCCTGCATCGTTTGGTTGCATTATAGACCCAATGACTACAAGCGCATTTTCTAGCCTTCAAACAGGGTTGAGAAAAAACCCAGTTGGTCGACCAGTTAGGCATCTTGGACCTCCTCCCGGATTCAACAATGTTCCTACTAAGCATGCTAATGAATTCCTTCCTGGTTCAGAGTTTAAAAGTGAGAATCAGATCATGGATGATTATAGCTGGTTGGATGGATATCAGCTGCCCTCTTCTACAAAAGACCCTGGTAATGCCATACATCACACATCTCATATGAATGCCCAGCAACTTGGTGGTAGTAATGTCATGAGTGCCACAATCAACTTCCCTTTTCCGGGCAAACAGGTTCCCAGTGTGCAGTCTCCAATCGGGAAACAGAAAGGCTGGCCTGATTTTCAGGTGCTTGAGCAGCTAAAACAGCACAATGAACAACATCTACAGCCACATCAACAGCTTGTGAATGGTGGTAGTCAACTCTTTACTCCGCTGCCTGAGCAATATCCAGGACAGTCTATATGGACAGGTCGTTATTTCATGTGATGTCAGTTCGAGAGATAGATGGTATGTTACTCTCATCTACCCTGAATTGTAATTGCGATGGTAATAAATGATTAAGTTTGTTAATAAAGTTTTAGTCTTGACTTATTTCCTTGATTCTTGAGGTTCTTGGGAATGATAATGGTGATCGGACCACATCCTGGTGCCAAATTGAACTCCACCTTTGCTGCCTGTTGAAAAATTTGTTGGAGCATTTCTGGCCTTGGATTTAAGCAGGCACTTGCTACCATAACAGGTACTTTACCTCCCATATATTCCCACTTTTCTAGTTGACATGCATCCATCTCTTATATACGATCACCTTTTGTTCAGCATGTTTGTTTTAGTTCCATTTAGGCAAGCAGGCGTACGTTCCCTTTTCTCTCTTTTAACCATGATTATTAAGAAAGTGTTGCTCTTTTTTCACTTTGGTGTTTACTAGTTTGAAGGAAAGAACTAAAAAAAAAAGATGAAACTAGTTATCCACTACAACTCCGGGAAAAGTGCTATCTTCCGATGATTAAATGGGATCTTTTAGCATATGTACTCTTGCATCTTTGGAGCTATGAAAGATCAATTGGATCTTTTAAAGGCTTTGATGAAAGTTGAATTGCATGGTGTGGGGGGTGAGAATTGAAAGAACGTTTGCAAGTCTTACTTTTTCTTGTGCACTAGAATTTGGGTAATTGGAGTAGCTTTATCATATCATGGTGGTTGCATGGGACAGATACATTTGGTGAAAAGATACCTAGTTTGACCTATGTTAGATTCTTGTTATCTGTTGGCTTTTCTTGTGTATGCATAAACTTGGGTGGTTAGGTGCAAGATGATTTTACACGATCTGTATTGCATTTTTTTTTGTTGTAGCGAATTGGCCGAGCTCTCCAGCAAGAGGGGGAAGAGAAAGGTTGGAAACATTTTTCGATGAGCTGTTCGTATGGAAGTAAATGCCTTGTCAGGTTTCTTGGGGTGTGGTTAGAAGGTCTTCTTAAGTTCATCGGTTTTGGGGCTTATCTCAAGGGATTTGGTGGGGGGGATAAGATGGTGTACTCAGTAAATCTACTTAACTGTCGAGTCTAGCTGTCGAAATTGCTTTTACCATCATCCGATGGCAGGTGAGTTGATAATATTGTGCTGCTTGGCAAGTTGTCTCCGAAGACTTTTGGGCGTATTCTCTTTGCGGGTAAGAATCTACGTTACCTGAACTGGATGATGGTGGGTTTCAAATCATATGTTTGGTTTGGAGGACTACAATCTTTGATATGAATCACCCTTACTCTCAGTCAAGTAAGGGAGCTGGTTGTTATTGCACTATTTTGTTACGAGTGAACCGGAATCTTTAGGTACTTTCTAGTTTTAAATGTGGTTGAGGTCTACTCAGGTCCAGAAATAATTTGTGAAACGTGTCAGACGTGTTTGCTGGTTACTATGCACTGTTGTACTACTCTGGTTTGTTCGTTACATTTCATGTTTACAGATTGTTTTTCCTTTAATAGCTTGGTTTTATTGTGTATGAGATTTCTGTTTTTACATGTGCCTCTGGCTTGAAGGTGGCTTTTGTAGGTAGATTCAGTTGCTGTATTGTTGTGGTTGTATATGCTCTGCCTTTACTAACTGAACTAAGTACTTTGTTTTTTAAACTTAAAACCAAATCTCTTCCCTCTCTCAACTCTCTCGTATAAAGGACAGATAGCTAAAACTACTTCTTTTCCAGCAGTGAAATCTTTGAAAACACTTGCAATATTCGTTAAACACTTACATAAAATGCTATTGTTAATGGTGAGGAGCTAGGAAAGCTTTTGTATCATTCCTTATTTTGTGGCTATTTTAAAATGCTATTGTTAAAAGAAGTATTTACTGTGTTAAGAGTCGTTGAGCAGTGAAATCGAAAGTTTACAAGTAACCATCAACAAGGACATACACGATAAAATCTTTTGAATAAAAGGAAAAGTTTGTTCGTAAAAACTAGTGAACATTGGCCCATCAGAATTCTTGTTCTTCCAGAATGTCATCTCTTGGTAAATATAGGTAGAAAAAAGAAGAGATGGTTATGAGCTTAGGAGAGTGTTGACAATTTAGGGTCCGTTTGATAACTATTTGGGTTTTTGGTTTTTGGTTTTTCTTGTTTTTAGTTTTTGGTTTTTGGTTTTCAGTTTTTAAGAAATAAAAATCATACATGTTTGATAACTATTTTTTGTTTCTTGTGTTTAAAAAACAAAAAACTAAAACATGTTTATTTTTAATTTTTTGTTTTTAAAAAGTTAGAAAATTTAAAATACATATTAGAGAGAGAAAATTTTATATAAAGTAGAGATGATGTGGGTGCGATTGAGGATACTCTTCTTCATTATTGGGCTCGTGTAAACTTTTAGTCTCCGTCTCCACCTCGTTCTTGGGTCCGAGAGATGTTCTCGAAAAAAATTATCGATTTTATAATTGTTTTTAATTATTTTTAGAATTTAAATATAAAAAAGTGTAATAAAAATATATTAATTATTTTAAAAATGGAATCAGGGACAGGGATGGGGTCGGAACATGCATTTTCTATTTTTGGGACCCAATCCTGTGGAAATCTTTGTTACGAACGTGAAATAGAGATGTAAATAAACTTTTGGAATATAAATTTTAGAGAGATAAATAAAAATATTTAGAAAAAAAATAGGTTGAGAAAAATTAAAGAATAAAGTCGAGAGGAAAAGTTATGGTAAAAAAAAAAAATTATAAAGAAAGAGAAAAATTATAGTGGAAACAAACTTAGAGATAAAAACAATATTCAAAATACAATTTTTATATAAAATAAATAAAAACAAAGATAAATGAAAGTTAGAGTGAAAGTCGAGAGGAAAAGTTATGTTAAAGAAAAAAAAGAAATTATAAAGAAAGAGAAAAATTATAGTGGAAACAAATTTAGAGAAAAAATAATATTCAAAATATAATTTTTAGAAAAAAAAACATATTACTAAGAGACAGAAAAGTTATAAAATATGGAATTTTCAAAAGAAAAAAGTTAAGAAAAATATTAATTTTTTAGCAAGAAAAATGAAACTGTTAGAAAAAAAAAACAAAAATACAGAAAATGTTGGAGAGAGACAAATAACAATAAATATTCAAAATATGAAAATTTTAAAGAGAAAAAATACATTTGTAGAGAGAAATTTAGAAATAAAAAAAATTGGAGTAAAAAATAAAATTTTTAGGGATAAATATAAGAAAGAAAGAAAAAAGTTGAGTATTAGAAAAAGAAATGAGATTTTGAAAAACAAAAACCTGTTTTTGAAAACTATTTTTTTTTGTTTTTGAAATTTACCTAGAATTTCAAAATGATTTTTGAAAAATAAAAAACAGAAAATTGAATTGGTATCAAACAATCATGTTTTTGAAAAATTAAAAATCAAAAACCAAAAACAAAAAACGAAATGGTTATCAACGGGCCCTTAATTTTTAGTTTTTGGTTTTTGGTTTTCTGTTTTTAAAAAAACAAAAACTATATATATTTGATAACCACTTTTCGTTTTTTGTTTTTAAAAAACAACAAACCAAATCATGTTTGGTAACCGTTTTTAGTTTTGTGTTTTTAAAGTATACATATTAGAGAGAGAAAATTTTATGTAGGGTAGAGATGATGTGGGTACGAGTGATATTAATTATTTAAAAAATGGAATTGGGGATGGGGATGGGGACGGGGACAGGGACGGGGTCGGGACGTGCATTTTCTATTTTTGGGATCCGACCCTACGGAAATTTTTGTCTTCCCTAATGTAGAGACATGAAAATGGGGATGTAAATAAACTTTTGGAAGATAAATTTTAGAGGGATAAATAAAAATATTTAGAAAAAAATAGTGAAATAAAAATTAAAGACAGAGAAAAATTTTAGAGGAAAAAATAAAGTCGAGAGGAAAATATATGTTAAAGAAAAAAAGGAAATTATAAAGAAAGAGAAAAATTAGAGTGGAAACAAATTTAGAGATAAAAAGAAGATTCAAAATATATTTTTTATATAAAATAAATAAATACACATATAAATAAAAGTTATAGTGAAAGAAAATTGAATGAGAAAATAAAATATAATTTTGAGAAGAAAAAATAGATTACGAAGAGATATAAAAGTTATAAAATATGAAATTTTCAAGAGAAAAAAATTAGGAAAAATATTAAAATTTTAGAGAGAGAAATGAAACTAGTCTTTTAGAAAAAAAATACAGAAAATTTTGGAGAGAGACAAATAACCATAAATATTCAAAATATGAAAATTTTAGAGACAGAAAAATAAAGTTTGGGGAGAGAAATTTAGAAATAAAAAAAATTTTAGAATGAAAAATAAATTTTTTAGATATAAATATGGGAAAGAAAAAAAAAAGTTGAATATTAGAAGAAGAAATGAGATTTTGAAAAACAAAAGCCTGTTTTGGAAAATTACTTTTTTTTTTTTTGTTTTTGAAATTTACATAAAATTTCAAAATGATTTTTGAAAAACAAAAAACAGAAAATTGAATTGGTTATCAAACAATCCTGTTTTTTAAAAACTAAAAACCAACCGGCTGTTTTCGAAATGGTTATCAAACGAGCCCTTAGTGTTCTAAGATGAGGCGTTGATTGCATATTAGATTTTTACGGTTGATTGGTCATAATAGAATTATACTTATCTATGAATAAGCTAAACGAAAGTGAGAACATCGATAATCACACGCTATACCCTACCTAGGAGGAAGGCTTAAAGGCATTTTGTGCCTAGAATGAGCTTAATCAACAAGTTTAGAATTGATTTTTGACCTACCAAAGATGGTAAATTTTGAAAAGCAATATCAAAGCTTGTCAAAATCTTTGACTTTTGACCTACCAAAGATGGTAAATCAAAGATTTTTTACCTATCATCAAGTTTAGTAGAAGTGAGGAGACACCATCACTTTAAATGGGACCAAGCTTGTCAAAATCTTTGATTTCCTTGAACTTGAACTCAATTGCTGACATTTTAAAGTTAGGTGAAGATTGCAACGCTAAGTGCACAGTACAAATTGATACAAATTGTCTAAGTTATATGTATTTGTGTCCCGTGACACAAAATTATGGATTTGTCACTGCCTTGAAGATGATGGAAAAAGGTATACAATGTCGAGTATTAGTTGAATCGAACTTGATATATACTATGGGAGGGAGACAAGTTTTCCAAACTTCTAATTTTCAAAAGTAATATCAAAGATCATTAAAGAAATATTGCAATTGTATTTGAAGGTGTTTAAACCTCTAAGCAATCTACTTTGAAAGCAAAAGGAGTTTCCCAAACTTCTAATTTGGAAATCTTAAAGAGATTTTATTGGCTAAAATTATTTGACCAAGTACAAATCGCCCAATAGCTTGAGTTATAAGGATGGCAGCTAAATCGCTAGGCTAAGAATAAGAAAACCATTTGATTCAACAGATTTCCCATACAAGTTGTTGATGAACTATTAGATAAAGTATATACACTACCAAAACCTATTTTATAACAATTTCGGAGATTGAAGTAGAATCAAAACGCCTATTTTACTCGAAAAATCTTGCCATCACTATTATTAAATGTTTGACAATTAAACAATAGACACTTTTTTAAAAAATAATGAGCTGTTAATTTTTCAAAGGATGGTAAGTACAAAATTGAGACCTCACCGATAAGGAGCCAAATATTTTCTTCATTTGAAGTAACAAAAGTTGTAGTATTGACTTTTCTATACGGAGCAATAATTAACTTTATAACAATGTATACTAAAATTAATGTTTTTTTTTTTTTAAAAAGGTATAACATAAAATAGATATATAATGAGGATTAAAAAAAAAAACAAAGTCTCCTAAGTGTAAAGCTTGTAGCAAAAAAAGCAAAAGCTCGTTTTCTTTTACTTTTTGAAAATTAAAAAATATAAAAAAAATTTTAAAGAAAGAAACAATTAGGAAAGAATCTCAATTTTACAGACTTTCCATAATTTGTTTTCGAAAGGTGATATACTTTCCATATATTGACTACTAACTATTGACAAATCATAATGGGCATTAAATATTATAGGAGGCAAAATAGGAAACATAGTACAAATTTGATTAGCTGCAAAACATTGCCATACATGTAAATGATAATTATGCAAATATTTTGAACTTTTTTTTCCTGGATTATTTCTAAATTTCTTATTGGATGGTAATATCATCACCAAATGATTGGTTAAAAATTTATACCACTGTCAATATGATGATAGTTCAGCTGATTAAGTTATAAATTTTTTGGATTAAAAAAAAAGAATAAGTTATATATTCTTGACAAAAAGTCTGATTTTCGAATTCTCACTCTCACGCATGGTTGAATGGAGAAAATCCTACACCACTATATTATCTTCCTACCATAGACTCCTAAGCAATTTTCACCTTTATCATTTTTTTCTAATAGTTTTGTATTGAATTACAAAGAAGTAGACATAAACCTATTAAGACATTATTTACCTTCCTAAATGTTTGAAGGTTACATCTCTCCCTCCATTTTGAACTATTTGACACATGTATAATAATGAAAT